ACATACTTCAACAGGTTGTGTCTCCAAGACAATAAAATCCACAGGATAAATGAATTTATCGACTTGTACTAACACATCTTTAATTATTCCTCTAGGCACTTTTATAGATCTATCAGCAAGTAAAAGAGTTATACAAGTTGGTTTTAACGCACCTAGATTGAGACTCTGAAAAACTGAATATGAAAGTAAATTCACACTAAAGTAAGGCTCTTTCAATTTTATCCTCTTCAATAAAGCAAGAAATTATAGGACAACCAGGGTCTTTATATTTCAAAGCATTATTGTTCTGAAGAATAACACTTACTTGTTCGGCTAGAAAGGCTTTCTTTTTCACATTCAGTTTCCTCTTCACAGTGCATAGATCTTTTAAAAATTTAGCATAGGAAGCAACCTGTTTAATAGCATCCACCAAAGGTATATTGATCCTTACCTGTTTGAAAATTTCAAAAATTTCAGAGTTGTGATTGACTTTCCTTTGTTTGGTCATGGCTTGAGGAAATGGAAGTGCTGGCGGAGAATCAATCTTTTCTTTGCAATTTTCATATTCAACCCCTTCCTTACCCTCAGAGATTGAATCATCATCTTTCTCGTAAGGTTCAAGAAAGGGTTTTTCAATAACCTTACCACTACGCAGAGTAGTGACTGATTTGACTTGATCCATGTGTTGGCTTCCGGAACTACTTGCATTTGCATTGTATTGCCCCTTGGGATTTTGTTGTGGTTGAGATGGAAACTTACCTTTCTCTTGAAAACTGAGAGCAGATGTTAATTTTGCAAGAGTATCTTTAAAATCTGTCATGTTTTGAGCAAGTTGAGTATTGATTGTCTCTTGCTTTTCAATGAATGCATGCAATGTTTCCTCAACATTTCTTCTAGAAGGTGGAGCATAAAAAGGTGCATATCCATTAGAATTTTGGAAATTATGGTGTGCTTGAAACGGTGGTTGTGAAGTTTGTGCATTGTTGTTCTCACTCTTCCAACTAAAATTTGGGTGATTTCTCCAACCAGGGTTGTACGTTTGTGAGTATGGGTTGTGGTTGGCCCTTTGGAAACTGTTTAAAGCATGGGCTTGTTCATGGAGACATTCCTTAAAAGAAGGCAAGATTGGACAATTATTGGTTGAGTGTTCATTTGTTTCACATATTTGACACACAATGTTTTCAACAGATTTTAATTGACCACTCTTTTTCAATTCTAGTGCCTCAACTTTTCTAGCTAAAAATGCAAACTTGGCTTGAAGGTCATGATCTTCCCTAAGGTTGTATATACCTCCACTAGATGTATGAGGTTGAGTTTTACTCGGTGCCTCATAAGTACCCGCGGTGTCCTGATTTTGAGGATTTTCAGCTAACAAGTCTAAGTACTTCATTGCTTCATTAGGTTCTTTATCTTCAAAAGTTTCATTACACATCAATTCAACCATTTGCCTATCTTTAGGTGTTAACCCTTCATAAAAATGTGAAACGAATCTCCATGTTTCAAAACCATGATAAGGGCAAGTACTAAGCAAGTCTCGATACCTATCCCAACATTGGTAAAATGTTTCTCCTGGTTTTTGAGTGAAAGTAGTGATTTGTCTTTTGAAAGAGTTTGTTCTGTGAGATGGGAAAAACTTCTTCAAAAACTGTTGTTGCATTTCATCCCAAGCACGAATGGATCCTGGTCTTAAATTTTATAGTCATGTTTTAGCTTTATCTTTTAATGAAAAAGGAAAAAAGCTTTAATCTGATGGTGTTCATGCTACAATTTAAATTATTATATGTGTTGCAAACCTCCTCAAATTCCCTTAAATGCAAGTATGGATTTTTCAATTCTAAGCCATGAAAAGAAGGTAAAAGTTGAATAATACCTGGCTTAAAATTAAAATGAGATGCATCGGGAGAAAAAACTTGTAATGAATAGTATTAGAAATCAACCACTAGATTTAATCTAGCTAGAGAAGTAATGGAAGAGTCTGCTACAGTCAGAGGACTTATAGCAAAGGTAGAACTAGCAACAAAGGTGTCACTGGCAAACAAAAAGGAATCAGAGGGAGGGTAGTGGAGTGATCAAGTAGCAATAGAGTTATTATGTTGCAAACTAGAGGGAGCCAAACTTTTATTTGTATCTACAAGCAAACAAAAAGGAATCAGAGGGAGGGTAGCGGAGTGATCAAGTAGCAATAGAGTTATTGTGTTGCAAACTAGAGGGAGCCAAACTTCTATTTGTATCTGCAGCAAGATAGTTAGATAAACATACATGTAGTGATGAAAGAGGTAATATATGGGTTGTTACGGGTGAGTAGAAGGTGGGCCATAAGAGGTAGAGGCACATGGGTAGTTGATGGAATGAATAGTGGTGTGAAATAATAAGGAATGTAACAGATTTAGTAGGAGGATAGTAGTGGGTTGGTTTGAGGTTGGAGATGAGGATTGTGCAATTTGTTCAAATTTATAAAAAAAAAAGCACATGTTTATGAAAATAGACATGATAAGAGATATAAATATGTTTGGATGCAATGTCAAAACAATGATAACATAGGTAAGATAAGCTATACTCAAAAAACACATATTAAGAGGAATAAAAATCTAATTTATGATTAAGATAGGGGTGCAAAAACAGAAAGCAAAGATATCTAAAAGTGCACAAAAAATGATAATCTGGAGAGCGTTGAAATAGACAATTAAAAGGAGATCTATTTGCAAGGGCAAGAGTAGTTATGCGATTGATAAGATAAACTAAACTTTCAAAAGCATAATTCCAAGATCTTAATGATACTTTACACTTTTTTAGAAGAGTAAGTATGGTTTTCATAATATATCTATGATGACATTTTACTGTGTCATTTTATTCATGAATGTAAGGATAAATCAAACGATGCTAAATACTAATGATATGAAAGAAAGTGGATAATTTTTTATATTTACCGCCCTAATGAAAAACAGAGTAAACATCAAACTTGGCAATGAGAGAGTAATACCATATATATTTTATGTATGTATCAATAAAGATAAAAAAAAATAAAAACCATCAGATGAAAAAAGGGAAGCAAGACCCCAAATATCACTAAAAATTAATTCAAGTAGAGCAGAAGTTTTATGACCTGTATGTAGGTCTTAAAGTCAAACATGATGACTTTTCTAATGGACAAGTTTGACAATGAAAATTAAGATATTTGTTATTATAAGTAATCTTATGTTGCAAAACTAGAAATTTAAAAAAACAAGAAGTAGGATAACTCAGTCGACAATGTCGTCGACAATGTCATAGATCAGCAGAAAGAGATATACAAGAAGACTAATAAATTTGAGGAATTAACATGATAGAAGACTTGGTCAAAGTGTAGAGATCATCTTTGTTGTGATTGGAAAGGAGTATTGTCTTGGTGTTAAGATCCTTAACATAAAAAACAAATGAGTGAAATTCAAAATAAACATTGTTATCAAGAAAAAATTTCTGAATAGAAAAAAGGTTTCGTAATATATGAGACATGAAAAATGTTAGACAAAGTAAAAGTACAATATGGTGTATATATTTTAGTATGCCTGATATTAGATATGGGAAGTCCCTTACCATCACTAACATGCAAATGATCATTATCAAGATATGGTTCGAACCCTATTAGATTTGTAAGATGAAGTGTAACGTGTTGATTAGCACCAGTGTCCAGGAGTTAAGCAGTAGTACATCCTAAGGAAGCATTACTTGACTCCATATTCGCACTAGGTTGTTGTCCATATCCAAGGTTTTGAAGTTGAGGATAGTGAGGGGCGGTATGATTAAAAGCTTGGCATAATTGGTAACGTGTATTAGTCCATTGTGAGTGCCCTATATTTCGCTGCCAATTGCCCTACCTCCTGTTATTGCAAAAAGTTCCATTGAAGCTGCAAAAATCAAACCTAGAAGCAGCAGACTTGTTGCCTCTGTTATTGCCTTAGTTGGGAAGCCAACCTTCATGAAATCTACCCTTGTTTTGCTGCTAATTCCCAAAAGGCGTGTAACGTGTTGATTAGCACCAGTGTCCAAGATATGGTTGCTAATTCCCAAAAGGCTGACGTTGAGCTACAAGAGTTAAAGGTGGCATGGGCAGTTGATGGCAGCAGATCTCTTAAAAGAAGTCATGAAGTTGCATAATACGAGAATTGAATAAGGAAACTAGAGTTTGCTCAAGTGTGCACCAAACAGAGCTCAAAGTTCGGCAATCAACAACACGATGAAGAACATCCATGGATAGCAAAGACAGTAGGGCACTTAGAAGAAGTTGGTCTTGCTGTTTTCAATGAAGAAAAGAATAATTTACTTGAAGAAAAGTACCATCAACAACAAAAACATATAAAGGAGAACAAAAAATTGAGCTATTAACAAATCCAAAAACTTATTGGACTAAAAGATATGACTTCATCTGCATTCACTAAAAAAAATAATTGATGTTTGTTAATTTAAGAGAAATGACTTCGTGAGTATTAAAGAGGGAAACAATGAAAGCTGCACCTAAGGAGTGTTGTTCGGGTTGACAAGAGCTTCACCAGCATCTGCTAGCAATGGCCACGACAAGACATAAATAGTGGAAGAAATCGGTGGTGCAGTAGAGGAGGAAACCAGCATCGACAATGTTACAGAGGGGGAAGGAGCTGTTAGCTAAGAGGAAGAGTCTATTAGAAAATTAAAAAAAAAATGTTTTAAGTTATTTAGGGCTCTAATATTAAATTAAAAATAATATAATGACTTGACTTATTTTTAGTCAATCTTTTTTATTTATACATATGAAGCAATACATGATAATAACTATAGGAACTAGAACATTGGAATAATCAAACAATAATTCCTATATATATATTTCTTCTTACTTTCAATTTTTTCACGTGCATCATTTCTGAACCCCTCCTCTTCATACTTCTGACTTCAAGTCGCACTTTTGTTTTTTATAGAAATATTTGGGAGAAATTTGTCACGCATACATCTCTTTTCACCACTATATATAGCCCCTGCCCACACATTGCAATATTATCACTGAAGATATAGCCTTCCAGGTGTATTCAGACTCTCTTCCCCTACTCTCTCTCTCTCTCTCCTTCCTTTTTCTTGCGTTTTCCAACATTCTTTTCTTAAATGGACAGAAACCAGTTGCGTAGGCAGGTTGCTCTCACAAAGCAGTCTCTTTTTGATCAGGTTCCTAATTATTTCTTCAACTAATACTTGTCAATGACTTGACATGCATGTACCTTTCATTGCAATTCCAAGATTAAGAAACCCTTTGTCTTCTCCATGCTAACGATTGCATTCATAAAGATAACATTTATGCAACCAGAAAATAGATATATGCTAGAAGCTATATGCATGCATGCTTGTGTAAGTTGTGTTCTACACGATCAGCAACTATTTACTGTTTTTCTTAATTTTCTTTCTTTTTTCTTTTTTAATTAAGATTCAGTGTACACTAATATATTGTGGTCAATTTTACTTTGGTGGTATTGTATTGAAAATTGGAATTGTGGAACAATATATTTCAGGGATTGCTTGATGAACAATTTATCCAGCTTGAGGACCTCCAAGATGATGCAAACCCTAACTTTGTGGAGGAAGTAGTCTCATTGCACTACAGGGATTCAGCTAGACTGATCAGTAACATAGAGAAAGCATTGTCAGTTTAAAATTTTCTCACCTTTCCTTCTCTTCTCAATTTATTTTCTTGTACAAAAGCACTACTGGTGACCCTAATACAGATCGTAATACATAGCTACTAGCTTGTAACAATATTTCTCTTGTGTCTTTATATATATTCAGGGAGAAGAATCCTCTTGACTTTAAAATGTTGGATGGCTATATGCATCAATTCAAGGGAAGCAGCTCAAGGTAATAAAGTTGTAAGGATAAAATTAACATTGAGAATGATTTTAGAAATAAGGATTACAAAATCAATTAAGATTATATTTATTAAAGGTATCATGAGGTATATTCTATGTTGGCTTTTAGCACAACAATCCCTTCATTTCTATTCCTTTCTATTGGGTGCAGCATTGGGGCCAAAAAGGTGAAAGCTGAGTGCACTCTCTTTAGGGAATATTGCAAGGCAGGAAATGGAGAAGGGTAATGACCCATCTTCCACTTTATTTCTTTGAATCACCTACAATCAAACGGACGAGATTGATTTCGGCCCACTTCTATAATTCCTTATGATGTAATTATTTAGTACAACGATAATGTAGTAGCGGCCTCTAGTTTTGTTCCTAGTAATCCTAGCTACTTCATATACCCGTTCAAGGTTTTAATGGTTTTGCATGGATATATACAAGCTGCAGAAGCATGAGGACATTCCAACAAATCAAGAAAGAATATGCAACGCTGAAAAGGAAGCTTGAGACTTATTTTCAGGTGCTTCTCCATCTTGTTCAATTCAAGAAACTTTTACAATCTATGAGTTTTAAAAGAAAAGGAAAATGCAGGGACTAATTAAGTTTTTTCTTTGTTTTTTTCCTACTTGCTATTCAGTTAGCAAAGCAAGCCGGGCCTGCTGACACTGCATGTCGGCCCAAGTAACGAATGCCAGGCAGATGAAGTGAAGCGTTTGACTGGTGATTCTAGAATGCTTTGAGCACCAGATCTCCAAAACGTAGAGGGGGTTTGTGGGGTTTTGGGCTTGCTTACAAGCTTTCTTAATTATATTATATGTGTTTAATCTAACCGAAAATGCATGGGCGTGGCTAATTTAATAGATTTTGGGTTCCCTTGTATACATGAAACGAATGAATGGAGTACTGTAGTTTTGCACTTTTGTTGACTCCTTTCTTTTCTTCTATCACAACGAACAATAGTTGGGACTACCCTCTACAGTTTTGCTCATTGTATCCAGTTGTGTCAAATATGGGTATGGTTTATTTCCCATCTGGACTCTAGTCCAGGCTCAGTTTTGTTCTCAAGTCCCAGCACTCAGCAGGGATCGCAAAAAGCCTAACGCCGGCCTATCTCTAGAAGAAAGCCTATATTCGATGTGGGAATGGAGTGCTGGTCCTACCGGAGCTATACATCCAATCTACTCTGGTTTCCAGTGGAATATCTCTCAATCAATAATAAGAAATTAAGACTTCAGGAATGTCTATATGATGCCTTGGAAGCAGAAAGATAACCACTCGATGACACACACACAGTATAGTTAATCCTTCTAGGAATCAGGCATATTACGCAGTTAGTTGTTAAGGGGGGAAGAAAAAAGAGCCCAATGATCAGCGCTCCATACCAGAAAACGCACAAAAAGAATTTCAAGATTGTTGAAGACACTCCAAGCGATGCTCGAAATACCCTTCTAGTGGTTGCTGCCCTGATTCCAGCTGAATCCTTTCAACCAAGTACGAATCCTGCAGGTGGAGTTTGGCAAGATGACAGTGCTTGATAAAGCAACTGTACCCTGTTTATTCCTCACCGAGTGTAATACTACTGAGTAAGCTGGGTTGATGATACTGTGTTTTTCCAAGTTGCGTGGGAATGAACTAGCCTTATCACAAACACTACGCGATCGTGGAATTTCAAGTTAATTTTTAATTTGATAAAGTATGTGTCATGTTTTAAATATGTTTTCAAATGTTATGATTTTTTTAATTATAAAAATACAAATATGATGTTTATATTTAATAAAATAAATTTAAAATATATATGAACTGATTCATACTAATTAAATATTAAAATGAACTATATTTTTTTTATAAAAGCAAAAGATTAATCAATATACAAATATTTAACCCTCCAAATTTTCTTTTTAATTTTTCCTTTTTTATTTATTTTATCTTAAAGGTTGTTTTTGCCAAGAAAAAAATATTTTTATTTTCTATAATACATTATGAAATTATATAAAAAATCAAAGCAAAAAATTAAAGATAAATTATAACAGTCTCTTTGAAAGAATATAAAATTAAAAATAACTATTATTTAAAAATAAGAACTAAACAATTTAAAAACTAAGAGAAAGGGTATTATTTAAAATTTAAATAAAAAAAGTAAAGCTATGTATATAAAAATATAAAAACAGGAGATTATTAATTAATTTATTTTAAATAATCGAAGTAAAAAAAAAAACTAGAAGAAACCAAGTGCTAGCATGCATGGACTTTAAATGTAAATAAATTATTATAATTGATGTTTACATTTCTAGATTATTAATTTTTTTTCTTTTACATTGGATAATAGGTTGTTTGTAGTGTCGCACAAACTTTTATCTTTTGCAATATTTTTTATAATTTTTGGTGATTGAAAAATCAAAACTTGAGTTAGGATCTCCAAACCTTAATTTTTAACTTATTTTAACTTGGAATTATTAATACACCATGTAAATATAATTTATAACCTAGAAATGTAAACATCAATTACAATAATTTATTTGCATTGTTATAAAGTTAAAAAGAATTTAAAAAATAACTATTATTTAAACAACGTAAACTAAAAAAATCTTAAAATAAGAGAGTATTAATTAATTTTGAAAAAAACATTAAATGATGTAAAAAAAAATAAGATGGGTATTAATTAAAATAAAATAAAGTAAAATTAAAAAAAAAAACAAAATAAGCAAAGTCAGGCCTAGAAACTAAACCCACACATATGTCTAGTACAAGATCCTAGCAACGCTTGGGCCTAGAATCCCAACCATGGGTATATAGATTAATTTTTTTATATTTTTTTATTTATTTTGTTTGTAACACCAGACAATAATTCATTAATTGTGATAATTGAATTGTCATTTTTCTACGGCTATTCTTGTTTATTGAAGATAACTAGAAAATTAAGGTTTTGTTCTTATACAAAGATTCATTATTCAACTTATTTTCATCTAATAAACTTTTTTATAATGTCAATAAATGAATTTATCAACTCAAAACACCTCTGCATTGGTCCAAAAGCAAAAACTCAAACTAGACAGAAAAGCATCACTCAACCCCAATCTAATTTTTCTAGTAAAAAAAATAAAAAAATACCTCAATGAAACTCCTCTCGTCTATGAAGTTTATTAACACTAAGAAAGATCCTTTTTATTATTAGAATATAGTCAGCTAATGAATTAACACTAAGAAAGATCCTTTTTATTATAGTCAGCTAATGAATTTCTCTCTTATTTGTTGTTTTTTGATAACTTTTCTCTCTCTCTTCTCTTACATATCATGGACTGAAAAAAAATAACAAAATAAATTTTTGAACCAAAATTAAAATTCTAAAAACCTTGAGATTGGTCATGCATTTTCTCTGCATTTTACATTATAGTCTTTTCTCTTTTAATTTTGATATTATACAATTTAAAAATTTATCTCTTGGAATTAGGTCCTAAAAGGATTAAATAAAAAAAAAGTATAAGGACAAATGCTTGTAAGAAAAAAAAAGGTTGAAAATAAAAAAAAAAGTTCTCTAGTCCATTTAGTCTAGCCTAACCAAACTACTTTCTAGTCCACTAGAGCAACCCAGGGGACAATTATCTAGTCCAAGCACTAATTAAAAAATAGGTCTAAGACCTTAGAATTGAGCCTTCCATTGCAAATCCCAATAAAGTTTTTAGAGATTGACAAACATCACAAGTTATGACCTTAAAAAAAGTCAGCACAACACTACATTTGCTAATACTTTTGCATGAAATGCTAATATGATTCCTACATTTATTGTTGATGGCTATTTTTCACCAACTTATATTTTCAATGCCCCTACATTTCTTGTTAATCACCCACAAGTTTTAACCTTTCCAATCAAAGATAAAAAAAACCAATAACTCATCTTTTTAGGATAGAGATGTATGATTTAAAATCTTGCAAGCATATTTAATCATTTATTAATAGCATAAAGTGTAAATAGAAAAAATTTTATTTTATTTTTATTTGGAACCTTCTTTATTTATAAACATTTTAATAGTCACTTATGATCCAATTTTCTTCTTTCTTTATATAATTATTCATCTTATTAAAGACTTTTATTTCTTTTGCTTTCCAATTTAAATATCAATTGGAACACTTTAATACATTTAATTTGTGTCCATATCACATCATCATTTATATATATATATATATTCTCATGTTTTAATAAGTCTAATTATGTGTGTTTGATCATGGTATTAGGAACATCTTAGAGAGCTCATGTACTATTTATAAAAACAAAAGACGATACACTTTTGTAGATAGATAATTTGTTTGATTAATTAAAGGGTGTTAGGGTATTTTTCATTATAGATTTGAGGTTTAAGCACCACCAACTAAGGATTATAGAACATGATATACATAACACGACATTTAAGACTTGTAATGGGCATTATAAGTTTCTAGTAATTCCTTTTGGGTTGACAAATGTCTATTTGATCAATTGAAGGGTGTTAGGGTATTTTCCATGATAGATTTGAGTTTTGAGTATCACCGACTAAGGATTATAGAACATGATATACAAAACAAAATATTTAAGACTTGTAATGGGCATTATAAGTTTCTAGTAATTCCTTTTGGGTTAACAAATGATCCGATAGTATTTATGAATTTAATAAATTGGATGTTTCTTCCATACCTAGATAAATGTCATGTAGTGTTCATTAATGATATATTAGTGTATTTCAGCTCTTATTTAAAACATAAACAGTATTTAAGGAAGGTATTACATATACTAAAAGAAAATAAATTATGTACAAAACTGGATAAGTATGAGTTTTAGCTTAAATAAGTGGTGTTTTTGGGACATGTTATAGTTACAAAAGGAATCTTTATTGATCCAAGAAAGGTACTTACGGCTTTCCTTAGATGACCAATTTATGCGACTCATGGAAGGATCAATCACAGGAATGAAAGATTGTAGTTGGTCAATCAATTGTTCAGCAGTAGCAGTAGAGATTATGATTTATCGTGCAGAAGATGTTAGAAATTCCTGTTCCACAGCATAATCAAGAAAAGACAACAATTTATCATAATAACCATTAACATTTAACAAACCTATGGGTTTATGGTGAATGTGCAGTTGAGCCCAAGAGGAAATATGAAAGATCTCTTCCAATGTGCCTAGACCACCTGGTAAAGTAATGAAGGCATCAGCATGGTTAAACATTGCATTCATTCGAGCTAACATTGTGGAGACCTGAAGTTCCTCTCCAATTGTTTTTCCAATGATGTCCCCTTGTGCCAAAGCTTCAGGGACGACCCCCAAAACTTGACTACCTCCTAAAAATGCAGCTATTGACACACCTCCCATTAACTCAAGACTGCTTCCCCCATACACTAAATGAATCTTTCTCTCAGCTAGCACCTGACCAAGATGATTTGCTGATTCTAAAAACTCCTTTTCTTTCCCAGGACTAGATCCACCGAAAACACAAATATTTCTTATTCGATGACCTGAGGAACTTGCCATTTCTACACACTTCTGTATTTGTTGAATGTATGGGTTGAGTAAAAATGAAAGGAAGGAAGAGAGGGTTTTATAGATGAGAAATGAGAAAGGCAATCATAACACCTATATGTAGGCCAGCTGGAGTCTCACACTCTCTCTCTCTCTCTTTTTATTTATTTATTTATTTACTTTAAAAAAAAAAGCATGTGTATGTACAGGTAGTTGTGATTATGGCTCACATCTTCCCTTGGTTTTACGTCCAAGAACGGCTTAAACGCCCTCTATGGGTCGCGGATAGGCTTCCCATCCAGTTTTCTTAAAAACTGGCAAACAGGGTCTTTTTTAGTCAGATTCCCAAGACTAAGTCGATCATGTTCTTTATGAAATAGTGGCCATAAATCATGAATTACACGATGCACATCTCCACTAGGATGCGTCTCAAGAGTCAA